GTAGGTTAATGTAATTGTGTTTTCCTGAATGTAGTTGCGCTTTTAGTTTTGTAGTTGCAGTTTGCGCTTCAGGGCCACCGTACGATCCTCTGATCTTAAGCAGTTTTTAAACTCCTGACTTTCATTTCTTTGTTTTCTTCTCACCGTCTGTCTGCAGGAGTCTCCCAGCAACAAGCTGCTCTATGCAAAAGAGATTTCCACGTACAAGAAGATGGTGGATGAGTGAGTTTATAACACCATGTGTTCAGGCAGACGTTGAACATTCATGTTATCATTTTTAATTTTCCTACTAAAAGCCTCAAACACCTGAGTCTGTATTTACTGGACGTTTAGTTAGTGAGAAGATCTGCGTGTTTCTGTTTCCTGCAGTTACTACCGAGGCATCAGGCAGATGGTTCCAGTCAGTGACCAGGACATGAACACGCACCTCGCTGAGGTGTCCCGGGTAAGAACCGCTTTCACTCCAGATCTGTTCTTCTTAGATGCTGAACCAGAAGCAGATTTGAATGTATTTTATTGAGATTGTATCTGACTGAGCAACATGGAGTCATTTATAATAATGAGAGGATGAATGATTTTAAATATTTACCCCAATAGAAATCTGAAACTGTGGCATAGATCTGTTTTCTGGGCTTTTATTTATCAGCTTTAAACATCGACACACTGAGAGTTTTATCAGCTGTCCTTATTAGCCTATTAGCTGGACTTTGACTAGGCCATTCTAAAAGATCAATCAGCTTTAATCTAAAGCTCAGGAGCTGCATAACTTTGTGGTAACAGTGCAAAGTTATGTAACCATGAGGAATCCGACCTTTAGAGAAATGATGCGAGGATCCTGCAGAGTTCCATCCACCATCTTTGATTTTTTTAGGACTGCAATCATCTTCTTTCTGTCTGTTCTGCGTCTCCATTCAGCAACACACAGACAAGCTGAACACCCAGGTGGCCTTACATCAGCTCTACCAGTACGCCAGCAAGTACTTCGACCTGGTGAGACGCTTTCTGCTCACTTCCAGACAGAAACCGTTCAGCAAGGCTGCAGATAAACGTTTGCGGGTTCAATTCCTAAATGATCGATTATGTTCTTCAGATCATCCAGTCGCTGGACGAGGACCCGGCCGCCCAGAACCGACAGCTCACGCTCCGCCTCCAGCAGGTCGCCGCCGCCCTGGAGAACAAAGTCACGGACCTTTGACCTCACAGAGGGGGAGGAGCTTATCAGCTTTGTTTTCCAGTTAAGGACTTAGATCAATCTGAGCGTACGGACTCATCCAATGTGTCAAGAGCCGGAGAACAGGACTGAGAGGAGGTTCTGGAAACAGAAGCACTGATTTATTTTATTTTATTTTTTTCCTTTTTGGTACCTGGAGGCTAAATTCCCACTCAGCTTCCCAAAAACAGGAAAATCAAGGAATCAGTTCGAAACAACTGAAATTAATTCATTTTGAGGAAATTGGATTTTTTTTTCTTTGTGGACGTTTGGATTCAGCTGCTCCAGCATCCGACCACTTTACGAAGTCTACAAACTGTGGATAAAACGTAGACCTCCAGCATCAGAAGGCAGTCTGACCTCGGATCAGCGGCAGAGATGGACGAGGCGCCGGCCTTCTGACCACTGACCTCAGCGGACGGCGGCTCCAGAAACATCAGCTGCTGTCGTTCTCCACGCGGCGGCTCTCTGCGTTTCCTCTCTGACTCTGCTGTCGGTTTCATCATCAGCAATTAGCCACTTCCTGGTCATGTGACCCCAACACTGAAAAATGAGACGGTTTGATCATCACTATCATGACGGCTGCATAGATCTACCCGCCATAGATTACCAGAATATCTGATCAGCTCCTTCAGTTTAATCAGCCCCAAAAAACAGGAAAAGATTAAAGTAAATCCAATCAATCAATGTTTATATTTTAAAAACATAAAAATAAAACCGACTCGTTGGGTTTGATCCACAGTTTCCACATCCTGAAACGAAAAAAAAATATGGGGAAGAAAGCGTTAAATTTATTATTAAATTAAATCTAAGTTTTAGAGAATTGTTTGTCTGAGATCCTCATCAGGATATTTCAGTGGCGCTTTTCTACCACAGGTGGCGCTGTTTTAATTGGCTCACAGTTAAACTGAAAAACAATAAATCTGGATAAAGGAGTTTGGACAAAACTAACAAATCTGTTTTCAAACCCGCAAAATTAAACTTTAAGGAACTGATTCAGTTTATTTGGTTGGATTTTTCTTTAATTAAAACATAATTTATAAAACATTTTCCAAATTTACTAAACAAAGAGCATCCAGATGATGATTTATTTCCGTTTTTATTTTATTTTAAACCTCGGTAAAAAAATCCAAGCAGGTTTGTTGACGTTTTACTGTAAATTCATTCAACAAAGACTGAAATTTGGGAAGGATTAGTTAAAGCCCCGCCCCCTCCAAAAGCAGCTCTGATTGGGCTCTAATTAGGCCCCGCCCATTTCAGTTGTTTCTATTCGTTTGAATCATATTTAACATGAAACTGATTGAAAATAAGCAGCTCGTCATTTCAGGAGACATTTTGGTTGATTTCCGCCTCATCCCGTCATGAAGCGCGTCTGTTTCGTCCCGCTAACCGTCTTTGGATCATGGAGGCGGGATAAGGAGAATCCGCCGCTGATCCCAAGAATCATCCTCAGAAACTGAAGCCACTTTGGTGCCAAAAGCTCTGAACCGTTTCGCTCTAAGCTTTCTGTGTTTGTGTTTGCAGACATACGTGGGTCTAAAAGTTGTTTGTGGTACTTTCATGAGAACGTTTGAAAATGTGAAACTTCAGTTGCCGTGAAGCTCAGCTCTCTGCAGATCTTTGACGAAACTTTGTGCTCATGTTTTGTTTTTTCGCAGGTGCGAACTCTGAATTCAGCCTTGGTAGGTTAGATTATAAACGGGGAGACGGTTCTTTCTCCTGCCGACGCTTGCTTCTCTCTGCCTTCTCTGTGCCGCCAGCGAGTGCCTTAAAGAGTTCAAGCAGAACGGAATCTGAAGGGAACTAGAAGTCGATCTCTGAGCGCTTCAGGCCTCATCAATCCACCGCCTGCTCCGTTTCAGGAGAAATCCTCAGCTTTTTTTTGTTTTTTTTGCTTAAATCTGGTAGCTGAAGCGACTTTGTGAAATGTTTGTGTTGTCAGAAGGTGGCAGATTGAACAGCAGGGGGCGCTGAAAGAAAAATACAGAAGATAGAAGTTAAATCTGTGGTTTTAATAACTTCTGACAGAGATGAAGAGTTTTTATTTTCCAATAGCTCACCTCAGCCGACCCGCTCGTTATGATCGCCACCTTATGACATCACTGAGCATCCCGCCTGAAGGAAATAAGTCTGGCAGATTTTAGGCGACGCAAACTGTGGAAATGTCCCTTTAGCGTCAGTGTTTGGTCCCTTTCGACCTGATTCCTTTCAGTTGTTTGAAGCAGATCGTTGCTGCCAATAGAAACTCTGTCTGTCTGAGATGAAACGAGCTGAAGATCGATTTCTGTATTTCTGTGGTGTTAAACTTTCTTAAAGAACATTGTTAAGGTACACATGAACAAGTATGAATGTTTCTATAGAAATTACCTGCGGTATGTCCAGAAGCCCATCTAATGTGTGTTTCTACGGCTGCAAACGACTTTAAACCCGACGTCGCCTTGGTTACGGAGGCGATAAAGAGGAACGGTTTGGATGGAGCGAGCTTTAGACTTTGAAACGGACTCGAATGAGACGAACGGTTAGCAGAAGGGGTCTGAATTGGACCTAAACCCAAATCTGTGACTCTTCTGTTGGAGTGGTTTAAAAAAAAAAAAAAAAAAATCCACATCTAGGAAGTCCAAATATCCAATAAAGTATGTTTATACAAATGGAAGATGGTGTCCAGGTTCATCATTTATGCACCTTTTAACAGATCCTATCCATCTGGCAGCCATGTTGGATTTCCAGGGAGGAGTTAAGGAGGAACATCATAGTTAAATTTAAACTTTCCTTGTTAATGTTTAATTGTTTTTTTTCTCCTGATCTGAGAAATTCGGACAGCAGGTCAGAAAAAAGTGTTTATAAGAAAGAAAAAAATCAGTCCTCTAGTTTTTAATTAACGTCTAAATCAGTTTAGACCAAATTAAAAACCATAAAAAACAAAACTGTGTGATTTTAATTATTTTAATGAAGTTTGAATCATTTAATTATGGTTAAAAACTAAAGTTTAAGGGAAACTTCATCTGTCTGGGTCGTACTATCAGCAGGAATCAGGGGTGGCTTCTGGTTTTAGAACCTGCACCCAAACAAGAGATAAAATAAAATAAAATAAAGATAGTTTTGGGTTAAATCTTTACATCATATCTTCACACAGTTTTCAGAACATCTGTGACATTTAAAGCTGGAAGAATCCTGTATTTTGGTTTAAAGTGGAGCGAACCAACGCTGAGCCTCCACAGCTGCAGCCAATTGAAACTCAACCAGCATCTTTTCTTCTGCTCCACAAACCTCAGCAACACAAGTAAGTTTTCACTTTACAGACTTACTTACTTTGGGTTTTATTTTCAATGTTCTGAACTTAGTTTATTTGTATTTTTTAACAAAGTGAAACCAAATAAAAAAATAAAAACTAGATTTTCTCTGAAGGTGGTTTGGCTAGAGGCAGGGAGCCCCCCCCCCAGCAGGTTTAACAAATTTAGATTCAAATTCTCAGCTCTAAGCTGATCTAGCCTAAAGTCCAAAACTCTGTTTTCATGTTTTAAAACAACTGCTATGAATTAGTTAAATCAGCTCTAAGTAGAATAAAGTTAAAGGTATAATGGAGGATGATCTTTTTCTAGGTGGATCATCTAAATAATTGGTCTTACCTGTCAATCATTGTGCTGATATGTTTACGTCAGGCCGTCCTACATGTTCGTCCCAATTTTCTCTTACCAGTGGTGAGTCTGACATAGTGGGAAAATAGCAAATCTACTTTTGGAAAGTAAGCTTGTATGAGCGATGCAAACGGCAACTTTTAAACAGAGCGTGCACGAGGAGAAACGTGATCAAAATCAGTGATCATCTGTCTGAACGGTCAGTTAACAGAGTTCACTATAAAGTTCACTATAGAGTCCCTGCTCTATATAGCCTATTAAACACGTGCAAGAGCATGCACGAGCCCATTTCTCCTCATGCACGCTCTTGCACGTGTTTAATAGGCGTTCCCTCTCTGGAGCGGGAACAGTGTTGTACATGTGGGTGTTTTCAAAAATACGTGTGTTGTCGGAAAACTTAGATTTGTCTTATTTCATATATTAATTAATGCTATTTACTGCCTATAAAAGTTTTCACTCAGTCTGTTTTTCCTTGAAGGCCACACCATTCTCTGCAGGATGGTGTTTGTAGACCAGACATTGCTTCTTCCATCTTTCTCAGGTTTATTCTTAACATGTTACTGTTTAACCAAAGTGTCTGTAATTTGTTTTGACTCTATTTTCCGTTGTTGTAAGTAAGGAGGAACGAACACTGCTCAGGCAGAACAGGGCTGATTACTGAGCCATTAGGGCCGTTTGATGAACTGTTCTCTCTTTGCAAAGATTTGATGAATAAATGTGCAGACTGAGTGAAATCCATCGATCTCCATATATCTAACTAGGGTGAATAGGGCTCGGGATCCGCATTGCATTGTGGGACGTGGCGGCCATATTGACGGCTACGCAAACGTAAACATAGCTCTGATACAACGTTGTTGTTGAAAGAAGAGACGTAGAAGTAGAGAGAAAAAAGATGTTAAAATCCTGAAAAAGGATCTGGAATTTACCGGGACACGTTAAATAGAGAAGCCAGGGACCGGTATGTCCAAGCTAGCCGACGACTCTTTATCTCTGACGCTTGGACTCCATGGTTACGCCTCCAGGCAGGAAAGCGGTGGAAAGTTAACCCATTTTCTATGTTTTTCCCATGGCGATCATGTGTTGCGCTGTTACAGCCCACAATACAGCAACGGTTTACCATGGTTGAAACCAAGTTAAGGTGAAATTAATCAAATTAAAATCAAGTTAAGGTGAAATTAATCAAATTAAAACACGGCTGAGGGGGAGTACAGTACGCGGTAGTCATAGGCAGTAGTCTGAGCAGCGGTAAAAGAGGCCATCAACATGGCGGCCACACTAAGTAATTACGTCACGAGCCCTATAGTTGAATACTTTTTTTCCCCAACTACAACGTGAAAATCCTCCATTATGACTTTAAGCGCGTACGTCACAAGGCCATTCTTAACTAAATTTCATTTAAATTAAAAAAGCTGTTCTTAACGAAATTTCTTTTTGTTAACTCTTGTGTGTACAAAATGACAAAATAAAATCTAAGTCTAATTATCAGTGGAGCCCCGAAGTGACGAGTCACCATGACAACAGGCAACAGGAAGAGTTTATTTCACCCCACTGGATCTAGAGGTTTTAGTGCAGAAAAAGGAGAATTTGTTTAAATGACAGAGAAACAGCTGCAAAGAATAGGAAGATTGTAAAGGAGATGATTGCCTTATCCAATTAAATGGTAGGTATAAATTAAGTGGGCTAGGGCAAGCCGTACTTACATTTATTTAAAAGCACTCCCCTCTCTGTTGTTCCAATTGTA